TTCTCTTTAATATACACATATATATGAAAGTGTGTAAATAATGTTCTTGAGATATATATATTCTTCAAATGCTATTTTAGTGGATGCCCATGTTTGATTAGACACCTTATTTTTTTAAACAGTCTACCAACCTGTGCATTCATGAGACTTAATAATCGAAATGTGCCCTCTGGCAGGGTTTGAACCTGCATCTTACTTTGTAGTTAGAAACCACCATCTGCTCTTTTTTGTTTTAAATTGCTTGACCATAGAGAGGGTTTTTTTTTTTTTTTTTGGATAATAATGATTTAGTCATACAATTCTTATTAATTAACCCCGAACTTGGGCAGGGTGGGGGTGACAAGAGGTGGATTCAGACGTTTTTGAAGGTTATTTAAATATAAATATAACGAACTGGCTCTCTGATTAACAACTCCATGTGTTTATCTGTTACACTACACGCACATCCAAGCTTACAACAGCTGGTATTCCTAAACAGTCACCCATCTAGGCTCAATGTAAACAAAGCCATTTCTAAGGAATTAATCGATCTTATTTTAAATTCAACATTATTTCTTGAAAGCCTCTGTACACTTTGAAAGCTAACAAAATAAAACAAGAAAAACAAAGAAACTATGTAATCATAACTAAAACTCTTACTGAAAATTCAAAGACCTTCCTTTTTTTTTTCTATTGAATGTATGTCCAATTGAGAATTGATTTGTCAACAAACTACTGGCCAACTTGAACTTTATACAACCATCCCATTACCAGCTGTTGAGTATTAAAGAAATCTTATCTTCCGCCTCTTCTCGATCTACCGTCCTGGGTATGACAATAAACTACATCCACATCCTGAGTAAGACTATAAACTACGTCCAACAGCAAGGCCTCTGATCAGGAGGTTTTGAGGAGCATGGAACCACCTCTTAATTGCTGGTGTTCTCAGGTCCACCCTGACCTGGGGTGGTAGCACCTGTTAGGGTCCCAACTACGAGTAAATAGTTAGCCCCCAAACTGGAGTCAAAACACTATGTAAGTGTAAAAATAGGTTTTTATACTAGAAATACTTTGTAAAAAAAATATTTATTACCAGCAATACATTTTTGAAGAAAAAATATAACCAGAAATAAAAATTGTCAGCATTGAGGTTGATATGCCGTAAACCAGACCAAACCAATTCTTCTCGATCTAATAGAACTGTTAGCCAGAAAGAAGACTTGTCTTTTTAGGTGACAGCTTTTAGGTATTTATAAAAATATTTGTAAAATATTTGTATCTAGGTATTTTTAAAATATCTGTATTTAGGTATTTGTAAAAAAAATTAATCTGTATTTAGTTATTTGTTTAAAAAAATCTGTATTTTTTTTTAAATCTGTGTTTAGGTATTTGTTAAAAATCTGTGTTTAGGTATTTGTAAAAAAAAATATCTGTATTTAAGTATTTGTAAAAATATCTGTATTTAGGTATTTGTAAAAGACAAACCTTTACACTTGAATCCTTATCAGTGTCTCTCATCAGGTGATCGGTAAAGGGTTGGAAGATCGGGCAACTTTTGAAAGCCCAGTTCTTTGAAATTCTGAATGTTGCTTCTTGTGATCTTTTGGTCTGGTTTTTAAATTCAGCTGGGCTAAGAAAATGAATTCAAAATTTAGTAACTTTTCAAATGTAGCCAAATTAGCTACTTGTTAGCTTAATCTGGTAACTCTGTTATCAATGAGTATTATTTTCAGAGTTGTTCTCTCAAGATGATTGAAAATTAGATAATTTTACTGGCCAAGAAGTGGGGGACCATTTTACAAATTGATTGTGATGTAAAATTAAACTCCCACTTTATATACATTCTTAACCTTATACTGATGACAAAAAAATATTACTTTTCATCTTGGTACAAAAAATGTGTAGAATTTGTTCTGGGATCAATTTATTACTTAGTTGTAATTTAAAATTGATCCCCTTTTTCATGTACATCCTAGTTTGCTAATCTAATTTTGATTACAAGCCAGAGTTGTCAAAGTCCAATGTGACTAAATTTTGAATTTCATGACTTTTAGGGTGATTTTTAAAAATAAGCTGGACCAAGTTAGGCTACTAATTAAAAGAAAGTCAATTGAAAATTTAGTAACATTGTCCTTTCAGATGTAGCCTTATTCATTACTTGTTAGCTCAATGTGGCAACTCTGTTACTAACAGATATTATTTTCAGAGTTATTTACTAACCAGGAAATGGTGGACCAGTTTATAATACGGTTATGATACAAAACTGAACCCACATTTTATCTCTATCTATAAAAGGCAGGATGTGTGTGTGTGTGTGTGTGTAGTGAATGCACGACTGCAATTTTTGACGGATTTACACCAAAATATACATGCACATGCTCCAAGTTAGCAGGAAGGCCAAGAACGACTTTGCATTTCCCAACTCCCATCGATTGTGGAAATAATCGATTTTTTTCATGCTTTCACGGCAATTTTCATGTAGTTTGCAGACATTTTCTACTGGCCGGAGTGAGAGCCTATAGCTGGCTTCCATGAATAGGCAGGAAGATTCTATTGGCCAGCATGAGAGCCAACAGCTGACTGACACGAATGTTAACTAGCATGCAAAAAAAATCGATAGCTGCATTCATCACAAGTGTGGAAAAATTTAAATCAGCATGGCACTTTACTCCAATGGGATCATTCACTTGCTTAAACTCAACATTGATTCTAATTCCGCAGAACTGGGTTGGGTGTGAAAAAGTATTTGTTGTTAACATTCTTTTTTTCATTTGTTTTTTCCAGTTACGAGTCCTTTTTTAAAGCTGATCGTTTTGTGTTCATTTTGTTTAGTTCTTTTTTTGTAACAGATGTAATGTTTAGCATAGAGCTTAGAAAAAATTTGCAGTGTGAGATAGGCAAGAAGTAAGGCATGCAGCAACATCAGCCCGGCAAAGGACACTCCTTTAAAGGCAAGGAAGGGCAAAAATGTTTTAAGTGATAGCGATTACTGTATGAGTCGTACGATTTTTGAATCAAGCACGGGCAACGCCGGGCCATGCTGCTAGTTTACACATATTTACATATATCAATATAAAAATTTACTGTCTCTTCATGAATTTTGCTTTTTTGTTCTCTCTTTTAAACCGTCTTCTGCCATTCATTTACATATGCTCATTAGGCAGGTCATGTACTAAATTCCTCTTACCTTCAATATATCCTGTAACTGTTAAATTTTCTAAGCCCTCTTTCATCATTATGTACTCTAGATATTTCAAACATTTTTTTCTGATCCGAAATATAAATGTCCTTCCTTCTTAGGTAATGAAATATGCAGTTTTCTTCTGTGTCCCGTGTTCCTTCAAGATGTTGACTATTAGGGCTTTTCACAATTTTCTATCTCTTTATAAATTTTGTCTTTTTGTTATCTCTCCTAAACCCGCTTCTGCCAACCATTTACACAAGCTTGTTAGGTAAGCGCAGATTTCCTCTGTTCTTCTTGCTCTCAATATTTCCTGTGCGTGTCAAATTTTCTAAGCCCTTTTTCCTCATTATGTTCCCCAGAAATTTCAACCATCTCTTTCTGATTCAAAGTATAAAAGTCCTTTTTGTTTTCATTTTCTCTCAAACTTTGTCATTGTTCACATGTTCAGTCCATGGTATTCTCAGTATCCATTTCTGTTGCCTTAAGTCTCTTCTTCATCTGTGAGGAGATTGTCCAGCATTCACTGCCATATGGGAAGACTAATAGTTTAATACTCTTTTCTTAGTTTCTAATGAAATTTTCCTGATTCTTAACCTTTAACATTCTAGAGGTGATTTGGTTTGCAAAGCAAAAATTTTGCAGTTGTGTTGTCATATCCTGCTATGGCAACAGAAAGTGACCATGACTGAATTTAAGTAGTGCAGTAGAAGAGCCTTGAAAAACAATTCCATGGAAAGGAAAGTAATGAATAATGCTGTGTATTAAAGGTTAATACTTAGTTAAGAAGTAAATCAATTCAGAATTTAGTCCATGTTGTGTTTTCAAATCTATCCCAGTTTGCCAACCCTGACAGCTGGTTATTTTTCTTCATTTTTTTTTTCTTCTTTGACCTTTATTTCTATTGCCTCAAGTGTCTTCTTCATCTGTGAGGAGATTGCCCAACATTCACTGCCATATGGGAGGACTAATAGTTCAGTACTCTTTTCTTTGTTTCTAATGAAATTTTCCTGTTTCTTAACCTTTAACATTCTGGAGGTGATTTGGTTTGGAAAGCAAAAATTTTATCCTGCCACTGCAAGTGACTCAGATGAATGAATGATAGTGTATTTGGATTTTGTAGTTGTGTTGCCATATCCTGCTATGGCAACAAAAAATGACCATGAATGAATTTAAGTAGTGCAGTAGAGGAGCCTTGAAAAACAATGCCATGGAAAGGAAAGTAGTGAATAATGCAGTGTGTTAAAGGTTAATACTTAGTTAAGAAGTAAAGCAATTCAGAATTTAGTCCGTGTTGTCTTTTCAAATCTTTCCCAGTTTACCAACCCTGACAGCTGGTTATTATTTTTACCTTTCTTCTTATATCCTGGTTGATAATTTTTTGTTTCAGGTTTCTATTTTAATGGCACTGTTTTAATCAGTTAATTTCTATGTGTGTTTCTTTTTTATTTGTCTGATACAAAATCTAGTTGATCAAGTTTCAATCAGTTAATATTGAGAGATTTTTTTTTCTTTATACAGTAAATAAAACTCATTCTAACAAGTTTAACTGCTTTGTCGTTTCTGATCAATTCACCTTGACACATTTCTTGAAAGGAAACCACCAATTAAAAAAAAACATAGAAGAACAAAACAACAACAACAACAAAACAACACCCCAAAATCCAAGTCTTCCTGTAATGGTTTGGTAATGGTAGAACCAAAAGAAAAAGAAGGAACCAGAAGAAAATAGAATTATTTTTCTTACTTTTTATGATAATTTTTCTTTCTTTACTTTTCTAGGTATAAATGCCACTGTAGCTACAGATGCCCTCCAGTGTCCCAGAGATCAATCTTAACAATGGGGAGGTGAGTATATAGCAAGATGGTAACCTTTGACATTTGAAAAATATTAGACTTTTTTCTTTTTTTCTTTTTTATGTTTACATAAAAATTGTTACAAATCTTGATACATATAATTAAATATATTAAATTTATATACATATATTTAAAAAGTAAAATAGAGAATGTTTCAAACTAATGGTTTTAAAAATTATGTCCCAAAAATGAGAGGACTGCCCTCACGAGATGCTTCACAATTCCTGACTGAATTTCAAGGATAAGGAATTATCATTATACACTGATTTATTCAAACTGTTATCCTCATCTTGGTTGTTATAGTCACCACATTTCTGCTATTTCTCAGATGAGGAATTATCATTATTATATACTGATTTATTCAAACTGTTATCCTCATCTTGGTTCTTATAGTCACAACATTTCTGCTATTTCTCAGATGAGGAATTATCATTATTATACATTGATTTATTGAAACTGTTATCCTCATCTTGGTTGTTGTAGTCACCACATTTCTGCTATTTCTCAGATGAGGAATTATCATTATTATACACTGATTTATTCAAACTGTTATCCTCTTCTTGGTTATGAACAGTCTTTTTCTATTTATTTAATGTAACCAATGTGTTTGTCAGCATTTAAAAAATCCAAATTGTTAGCACAACCAATAGCGTATCTGCGAAAAGGCCTTAAAAAAAACAAAAAAAAACTTAGACAAGAAAAAACATTCACACTAAGAAAGAAAAACAAATGAAAAGTACCTACCTAAGCAGTAAGTTAGTGCTTAACCCATAGACTCTCCAAACGGTGTAAAAATAAACACTTCACAGTGTCAATCTTGAAGTCGCTACATACGTTTCAACCTCTTGCAATCTTCAGCCAACAATATATATGCAAGTTTCATTAAAAACAACTGACAAGGTGCCGTCGTTAAATTTTTTATATTATTTTTTCTCTTGTGTTTTTATGATTTTTTTTCTTTTCGAGACATAAATTATATAAAAATTGTCCAAATATTTTATATATACAAGTACTTTCAACTCTACTTTTAGCCATTATCAAGGATGAATTTTATTTTACATTTTACTGAAAATATATCAATTTGTTTTATGTATATATACAGATTTATAGAAATGTCTTTATTTTCCAAACCAAGTCACACACATTGACACACACACACACATATATATATATATATATATATATATATATATATATATATATATATTTATTTATAAAAAATTATAACATAAGTATGTTATAAAATCACTACAAAAATAGCCATTTTGTTTCAACACACTCTGTGTCTTATCAAGTGATGATGTTGAAAATAAAATAAAATATATATATATAATAGAGATAATTCGTCTTTTAAAGTGACTCCAGCTTACCAAATAACATGACATTTGATCCACTAGATTAGGTTCTAATGAATGTGTAAGAGTTGATCTCCGAGACTATTCAAACCAAAACCTTTATTTTGTCCACGTGGGTAGATTGTTCTAGTTCCATGTGCCATGCCTCTTCCAGATATCTCAGTTTCAGTTATTTCCCTTTTAATCTAACTCTCCAATCTATCCTGGTGGACAAAATAAAGGGTTCGATTAAAAATTCCAATCACCTGAAGAAGGCCAGAGCGTGCAATGGCTAAAATGTTGTCAATATGACAACAAAGATGAGGACAACAGTCCAAACAATGTGAATAGTGTAAATAATTACTATACCTCATCTCAGAAATATAGACAGATACTTTGTTCTTGTTAAATCTCAACTTTGCATATAAACCTCCCCTATTTACATTTAATATTCCAGTATTATGGAATGAGGCTAGCAAAAAATTATTGGTAGTCTATGGCATGGCTAAACATTCTAGCAGATCCCTCAACTTTGCATATAAACCTCCCTTATTTATATTTAATATTCCAGTATTATGGAATGAGGCTAGCTACAAGTACTGGTAGTCTATGGCATCTGGCTAAACATTAGTCCACCAGACACGTCAACTTCCCTACATTTAATATTCCAGTATTATGGAGTGAGGCTAGGTTCATATATAGTGACATGGGACTTTGGGGTTAAAATGAACAGCCAGTTTACCCACACCAAGAAGGTTAACAGAGGCAGATATTAATGAGAGACCACATGGGTTATTTTTAACAAAACAAGATAATGAATTTATTTACGAATTTACATGCTTCAAGTTGTGTCAGTAGCTTGTTTCAGGAAAATAAATCAAAAATTTTTAAAGTCTGTAGTGTCAACCAATTTTCATGAAGAAGAAATAAATTATACAATAGATTAAATGATCTGACAGAAAATAAAGAGAGTTCATTGCTCACCAAAGGGATATATGGTTTGTATACATTCAAAAGTAGACGAAGAGAGATAGTTTGAAATACTTAGCTTTCTTGCATTGTTGAAATAAAGTTCTTTAAAGTGTCAAGTGCTTAGTTAAGGTCAATAATATAATTAGTGAGTAATTTGACACTGGTAAAAATCTGAACGCATGAAAAGAAATAAAACTTTTCACATAACTTCATACACACTTCTCTTTGTTAAAAAAATTTTTTTCCTTATTTTATATCCAAAAGGATTTCACATAGGCTTGCTATTTTCTTTTCTGCCTTTTTCTAAGCTAATTTCAAGGTTTTCATTGGTCCAAAGAAAATTTCACATAGGCTCAGAATATCTTTCTGTCTTTTTTCTCAGTTCGCCCCAAATTTGAAGTAGGTGGATAAAGGGGTTTATTATTTCGTACTTACCACACATATATTGGTTGTCTATGGCATCTGGATAAACATTAGACTACTTTGTTGGAATTTTTGGGTACCCTGGTGTACTAGTGAGCCAGCCAAAATGAGCTGACTCATTTTATAGTTCACCAATAGAAAGGTTAACCAATCAGAAGGCTCAAAATATTCAATGTGACGTGCATAAAGGCGGCCATGTTTTTCCCCGAATATTCACTGCCAGCCTTTGATATCGAAGATTATAGAATTATGAAACAGCTGCTGGTGGTATTGACAATATAGTCAGATTCAGTAGAGTGTCTGACTCGTGAGTGTTAATCTTTAACTTTGTTTCATTGAACAGATTATGTACTGCGCTGTATTCTATATTCATAGACTATGGTGAACATGGTCAACATACTTGATATCTAGATTTTGCATATATGACCTGGTGGATATTTTTAAAGATATTTTTGGAGGTAAAAATAAATGTTAGTCTTATATATCATCAAATATGGCAGTCATTTAAAAAAAAAAATTTTTTTTTACTTTCATCAAAACACATAGATTGTTTTCTATATAAAAAAAAACTTGTTTGATACAAGACAGAGTTTGTTTCATTCTTTTTTTTTAAAAGAACTTGTTTTCATTTTTTTTTTTTCTTTCTTTCAGCACAATAAGAGAAACAGCTAGAAGAAATGAAGTTGATCTGCTACGTGTGGCTTTGGCTGGACTTCATGGTGAATACTGCCAAGATGACATAAATGAAGCTTTGGTACTAGCAGCCAGTAATGGAAATTATGAGTGTGTTGAAATCCTGCTAGCTGCTGAGGCTGACGTTAATTCTGTTGACCTAGATGGAGATTCAGCCTTAATGTTGGCCTGTTCAAAAGACTATATGAAAATCGTTAACCTGTTATTGTCCTATGGATGTAATGTCAATTTAAGCAGTCATTGTGGCCAGACGGCTTTTCATATGGCTGCTTACCATCAACACCAAGATATTGTTGAGCGGCTACTCACCATTGGCAATATTGATGTGAACTTGCAGAACCGGTATGGAGACTCGCCACTCATGTTGGCCATTACGTCCGGTCAGGCTGAGATTGTGAAATTACTAATTCATGCCGACGCCGATGTGAACTTGCGTAACTTAGATAAGGACAGTTCTTTGCATTTTGCTGCCAAAAACGGATTCTTGGAGATAGTCGAAATGCTTCTGGAATGCGGCGCCGAGATAGATGCCCAAAATCTGTGGGGTTACACACCCGTCTTGCAGGCTGCCATGGAAAACCACTGGGAGGTTGTACAGAAGCTGATTGAAAACAATTGTGACATTCACAAAGCCTGCCAAGCCGACAAAACCCCATTACACTACGCTTCGAACCGTGGACATGTCGAGTGTGTTAAGATATTGTTGGCCGCTGGGGCCGACCCAAACACATGCGACTTCCATGGCAGTACACCTCTGATGGAAGCAGCTGTCTATGCTCGAATACCTGTGATTAAACTTTTGTTACATGCTGGTGGTGATGCAACCATCATGAGCAGCACCGTTTTGGCCGGGAGGTGGACCTCTGCATTACCATTCTGGGCTGCTCTCCCCCACGGGAATTTGGAATTAACCAAAGTGTTGTTTCTTGCTGGAGGCATCAGCCATCCTGAGCTTCAGTCTGTCGTGAAAACAGGACTTTGGAATTGGACAGAGAACAATGTGTTGAGGGACTGGCTGATACAAGTTGCTTCCAAGCCATTACATCTGACACAGATGTGTCGGCTAGTGATACGACAAGCAATGCCCAAACCAGTGGCTAAGTGGACTCATTGTCTGCCCGTTCCCAAAACAATCCAGGAATACCTTAACTATATGGACATCCAATAAAAGGGAAAGATTTTTAAAGAGTTTATTTTTGTCTATGCATACGATGTATCAATGTGCGTATGTATGTTAACGAAATTGCAAACCTTTTCTCTCGCAGTGATTAGAGAGTGAGTGTTTATTTGTAATTTTTGAAATCTGGTTGCTTTAATTATTGGAGGTGAATTCCATTCAAACATTTCAGTCTTGTCTACATGCGTTGTGTTGCAAATGCTTCTTGTTAACATGAATTCTGCAAAGGGAAACTGCGTTTCTTTTTCATGAAAGGTTCCGAGACAAGCTACTCTTAGTTTCAAACCAGTTTGTCTTCATCATGTTTCTTTGTGTTTGAATCTCTAAGACTAAGAATTTTCAGATGATATTTCTTTCTCTTTGTTGTCTTGATCCACATTTTGGCCATAGGGATGTTTTCTCATTACATCCAGTCACCTTTTTAAAGATGTCAAACAGAACTACACCCCCCCCCCTATTTCATCCTCCCGGTGATGTTCTCCTCCTTCCAATTCGTACATCGCCTTTTTGGAGAGAATTTCAGAATTTCAGAATTTTCAATTCTTTCTTGTGATACCAAACTGCCTCTTGATGGAGCCAGTGTATGTTGCTATATTTCTGCACTACCTCACCCAGAGATTGAACTCATGATTCTCTGGGGCCTTTACCCGCACTTTTATACAGTAGGCCACCTCCCATAGAACACTCGAAAACTCAGATGAGGAAAATGGTTCAGATGAATTAGTATTTAATGTATGTCTCATATATATATATATATATATATATATGGATCATTAATATGTCTTTTTTGTTGACTACTACCTTGGTTTCTTCTGTTTTCCAAGAAACCCTATCAAATATTGATGTAGATGATTTCCAGTGTTCACCAAGATATGCAAACAGCTTGTGGCCTTGTGCCAGACTAGGTCAATAGCTACATTAATGTACACAGTAAATGCCTCTCCCCACCGCCCACATTTCTTTTCTTTTTTTTTTTCTTTTCTTACTTTTTATTTTTTTTCTGTCAAGTGAGGAATTATGTTCAGGTTACAAAACCTGACTCTAGGAGGTTTTTAGCAGATTTTCTAAATTTGCCTGGATTATTTTTGAAGCTCATTGACGCACTCTCCCCTTTCCAAATTATACTTTTTCTTCTTTTTCTTTTTTTTTTTTTTTTTTTCCATACCATAATTGTCATGTAACATAACCCAAGATTACTCTCCAAACTGAAATTGTGATACTAAAAATAACCTTTTTCTGGATCTTTTTTCTCTGTTGCAAGGTCATCAAAGGCTACAAAAGAAGTCATGTTTGTTCTTTGCTGAATAATTTATAAAAAGGTGGTTAATCAAAAAGACATTCTTGTTGCTTTTTTTTTTTTTTTTCAAAGAATTCTAAATGGAAATTTTGGAGGTGCCGATGGCCTAACTGGGATAGAAAAAAAATTAGCAGAATTCGAATGCTACTTAAACCAATTTGTGTTCATGTTGCAGTTATATCCTTGGGAAAGACATGAGAACAATTCTTCCTCTCCTGGCTTGTGAGGCAGTCTGTTTGGGGCATTGAGATAACACTCAAGTTCTGTAAAAATTTACTAATGTTAAAAACGATGAGTGCGCCTCTATTGATTTTTTTTTTTTGTCAGACTGGAGATGGCAGACATTTACCGCATGTCCTGCAACACAGGAAGCAAATTTTCTTATTGAATAGAAATAATTTTTTATTTAATCATCTCACCCAAAGAAAGGCAATAAAGTCTCTAAGATGCAAGGAGTTACCAAGTGTAAGAGAATATGAGAAGAAAGAAAAAACTATTAAAGAAAGAGAACAATGAAAGAACAAGAATTAAGAAGACAGAAGATAACATTTAAATTTTTGAAGATTGAAGTTGACTGGGAAGCAAGAAGCCCTAAGAGAGTTCCACAAGCAAGAAGTGCAAGAGAAGAAACTGTTAACATAGAACTTACAGTTCCATTTAGCCATTTCAACTGTAAAATGATGAGACCTTGCTGCCAATCTAGTACTGTATTTTAAATCAAAGTCTTGGTACCATAGAAGAAACTTCATGAGAACAATTATCATGAAAGTATTTATAGAAATGACATTGGGAAGCTACATTATGGCAGTGGGAAAATGACTGAATGTGAGATGCCAAGTCAGGATCAATAACATTGCAGATTCTTTTGTGGATTTTATCAAGAATCTCTAAGTAGACAGTAGAAGTACCAGACCAGAGCTTATGGTTACATCTAGCCATTTCAACTCTAAAATGATGAGGCCTTGTCGTCAATCTAATACTGCACATTTAAGTGCAGTATTAAATTGGTGCCAAAGTCTCATCATAAAGTCTAGATACCGTAGCGTAAAGTTCATGAGAACAATTACCATGAAAGTAGAAAAGGCACAGGGAAGCTAAGTTACAGCTTTTAGGAAAATGAAGCTGTATATCTGAAAAACATGATTGTGTAGGTAATCAGTATTTGACTGACAAAAAAGAAAGTGTGATGTGGGTATAAAGTGGGAGAATTAATCCTATATTTCAATCAATTTCTAAAATAATCCCTCATTTAGTGGCTATGATAGATTCTCTACATTTCTATAGTCCAATTAAATAATAAAATGATGAGACCTAACTGCCAATTTAGTACTGCACTTAAATTCATAAAGTCTGTGTACCCTAGAGGAAAACTCATCAGAATAATTGCCATGAAAGTATTTATAGAAAAGGCACAAGGAAGCGACATTATAACGGTGGGAAATGGGACTGCAGGCTAAAGAAGGAACGGATAAGTGATTGTGCTCACTTTTAGGAAATCATAAAAATGATTTTATGCCATAGCTTTTGAGATGAGAAACTATTTCAGACTAACAGTAACATTTCACACTTTTCCTATTTGAATTTTTTAATGAATTCTTAAGTTAATGACTGAACAAGCTTCTTGAGTTTTATGACAATAAAATACCCATGGAATTTCTCATATTGTTAAATATTTGAGTTGAACAGCTTTTAAGAAAAATAAGTATGAATGCTGGTCTTTTTATTTAACCCTTTTGCTGTGGAAAGTGAATATATCCACTCAAAATTTTATTACCATTAACTGTAGAAAATGGATTTACACCACAGCTTTAAGAAAAACCTTTCCTTATGCTGCAAGAAGCAAGTATGTTTTTTTTTTATTTTCTTGGTGGATAATTAACATCATTATGGGAATGACCGTGCAATTTAATGACACAAAGAAAGGGTTAAAGAAGCAAGTGGATACAAATAATAAAAATTGACAAATTTTTCCATTTCATTGAAGCAGTCATTAAACATATGACAGCATTATCGCCTCCTCTATCTTCCCTTTTTTATTGTTGTTTTTCTTCTCACTAAAAGCAAACATCTCTGATATATCTTTGATCTCAATCAAAATGGACTGGTCCATTATTTAACTGTGGTAATGGCAGGATATAACGCATATGCTAACAAATGAATAAATAACAGAATTATGATTGTATGCCTTAGAATTACCAGTGGCCTGCTCATTTTGATTGTTATACTCACGTTTCAGTCTTTGTAAGAAAACTTCTCAAGATTTTGAACTGAATCATTTAAATTCTTTATTCGATCAATGAGTAAATGGTTGGGAATTCTGTGTGCTGTAAGTTTGGATGTGCAGGTGGTGTAATGGATAATGGCTCCAGAATCAGACAGCCGAGTTCCAATTCCTGTCAGGTTCATTATATTGATTTACACACAAATCCCCTTGTGAAATGTATGAATCCACCTTTTCTCCCTCCAGCTATGGGTTAATTAGTAGGACTTGTATCAGTAAATCAATATAATCTCCAAAACATTCTTACACTATAAAAATATATTCTGGCTTTAAATAACCTACAAAAGATTGATAAGCTGTAAAAAAAAAAAAAAAAAGAAGCCAATCAACCAGTTCATAGCTGTTTAGTGGAAAAAATGGACAAATGATGCAAGCATGAATAAAACTGGTGAGTACTGTGTGAAATATTTCTTAAGCCTGGTAAGTGGAATGAGAACATAGAATGCCCCCCCCCATTTCTCAGTTTTTCACTCTTCCCCATATTTTTTCACTTCTCTGCATCAATGTGTACAAAAACTGGGAGAGGCTAATTCACAAGTGAATAGAAGGTGTGATCAATGCCACGGGTAGAAACTGAAAACACAAATCCTGTTTTCAATAATTTGGTATCTTATTCCCTGATGGTGGAGTGGGATTCAGAAGTCGGATCCAGTCTTCTTTTTGTTAGCAGTTGGGTGGCATATAGATCCCTTCGCTTCTTACATCTGCTGAACAGTTGTGACAGACTGGAGGACAACTTCTCTCTAACCGGGAACTCTACTTATGCAAAGCTGCAAATGGAAACATCTGACATCCGACAAAGTGTCACTTGACCCCACAAGATTTCATTTATTTTTTCTTTTTTTGTCGAGTGGGTTGCTGCCCAACTTCTAGGACTTTATCTTCTGGTCATAAAAACACCCAACATTTCAAACTCTGATAACATCACTGAGGACCCACTTGACTTTGTATGTGTGTGTGGAGGGGAGGGGTTTATTGTGCCACGAACAATCTGCTCCTATGGATTAAATAAAGAGTGGTTAGAAATGCTAATATGATGATCAAATACCTGAAATCATCCATAAGGTAGCAAGGTTGAAACGACAGTATAACAATCATGCTGGTCAGTCATAATGTATATTATTAAAAAAAAATATACTTTAGCAATCCTTTTAATTTGGTGTTATTTTCTGGACTTTTCTCCCAGAAAATTGATTTTATTTGATGAAGGGTAAAAAATTCAATTAAGTAACTAGAGAAAAAAAAAAAAATTCTACCCTAAGTATCATATAAGAAAACTCCCTTTGTAAATATTAAGGATTTTTATTTTTTCTCCTCAAATAAAATGCCCCCCGCCCTGCACTTTCCCTTCATTTTTCCTTTCTTACAGTCAAAAGCTGTAAGTTTTACTTAACCAGTTAACAGCAGCAGAAA